CTTTTAGGAAGGAGTATGCTCTTTTCTTGAAGGTTTGATGGTCGTATCGGTCCGTAAATGTCTGGCTTTAAATTTCGGTGAAATAAAAGTTAGTTAGAAGGACAAACGAGTGATCCTCCAGTCCATCTACCTAAGTGATCATGGACCATAACTACATCACATAACACTAGCCAGTCCCTATAGAGTTGCTGCGTGATTATTTCTTATTTCTAACTTTGAAATTGGCGAACTGCCATACAACCATTCATCCCTTATTTTACCAATCATCAGCAGCTGCCAATAATTGACGTAGGCCAGTACGAGACCAATATGTTAGTAAAAAAATTGCGTTGCCTACCGACAGTACAACGTGGGCGCTCGAAGGGAAGTGACAGGGGTAGCGGGAGGGGAATCGCATTCCACGCAAGTCTCAACTTATCGCGCACGTATTATAATTTTATATGTATAGATTACACAACCAATATAATATCAAAGATAACCAATCCAAAAAGCACCTTTACTCTATATAAATCTACTTAATAGCTGGTAATATTGGTTCTAAATCTGCAATTAATAAATAATAAGTGCTAATTCTGTTATTAGAAAACTTTCTAAACGAAACTAAATATCACTAAAACTTAGTTTAGTCCTGTCAAGTACTACGTTTTTAGAATACGAAACCATGTGTTGTTTGGTCCTGTCAAACCATGACAGGACCAAACAAATATTTAGTGATTTTAAGTTTAGTTTAGAGAGTTTTCGAATAACAGAATTAACACCATTGTATCCGTTTGTCTTTCTTGCTTTGCCTTCTTAAACCCGATCGAGATGTGCAGAATATATTTCGATACATTTACTTTGTGTGGAGTGAGTCACACAGACTCGGTGCGTAAGTGTTCTCTCCCAGATTGAGATTGATGTGTCGGGGGTACGTTTTATTCTTAAATGAAATTATTCGAGGAATCAGTGACAAAATGGCCACTTAGCACCACCTCCTGTTTATTTTGAGAAGATTGCAATGTCTGCAAATGGTTTGGAACATTTTAATGCATCTAATTTTGTTTAAATTCAGTTTACTTGTATTTTTATGGTTGATCTTAAATTGGTGTGTCACTGGTGAATCAAATTATATAAACAACTTTTCATGTAATTATGTATTTACCATAAAAAATACTTATATTAAAGTCACAAATAATAAATAATATATGTTTTTTCTTATCTTCTCATATGACCTCTGTCGTGCTGTGCAGTGGTAGCGTATGCGACTGCTACACTGCTGGGATCTCAGGTTCGATTCCCGACCCATCAATTCGTATCGGTCTGAATGTTTCTATGTACAACATTAAGTATTTGTATAAAAAATAACTGTATAACTATGGTCCTAAATAGAAATTTAAAATATATCCGTATAATATAATAATTTTATTGCTTATTATAACAGTTATATAGTATTGTATAATAGTTGTATGTACATATTTTAGTAATTAAATAAATAAACAAGTCACAAAAATCTGTTCTTCTAAACAAAACACCCCAGTTAGCTAGATACGATCCCGCCAATATACATAGCCGTCAGCACCCTGCTACTCCCATAGCACCCTTCTAAATTTTCGCTGGGAAAACAGCGGCTATTTCAATTTCCCGACGAAAGCCTACTCCGCGCACGTCAAAAACATAATTGGCATGCCCTTCAACGTCGATGAGCGTAGATATAGTTATGCTAGATTGGCGACATGAGCGTGGTTTGACTTAAATTACGTGTACTTTATGAGAGCTACGTCTTTATTCAGTTTTTTTCCATAATGATAAGCATGTATCTATTAACCACGTCGCGCTACGACACCTCAGGACCTTTAAATTTGGATTTAAAGGTTATGAACCAGTAATCGAACAGTGATCTCACGATCACAATAAAATCAAAAATTATTATCCATGGGAATACTGAAATATTCTATATGAATGTAAATATGTATTACAATATGGATAATAGATAAATGTGATGAGATGTGATTATACATAGTTAGTTGTTGAACGGTCACTTCTCAACTCATAAGGGTTACGACCCTAACATTGTGGTGTAATCTAACTACCTTATATTGAAGGAAATAGGATGCTTTATTATTGCAATCAATTTAAAAAATGTTCTCTTTTTTTAACAGAAGATAATTTGTTTAAAACATATTTGAAATGGCAAACAAAAGTTTGAATAGTCACTTATCCCATCTAGCATCTCTCTATTTCTTTTCCATATATAGGTGCAGCGCGTCGGAAGAGGTCAACAACCCCCAGCCTCCCGAAAGACACCCTCCTCCGATATTCAGATTTGAATATTCCACTCCCCAAATTTTACCATTACATTACCTTCTCGCAACCATTTCGTTTACCGAAAGCAAAATGCAGAAAAGATTTTTCTTGCTACATTAAAATAATAATAAAGTAATCGTTTATAATTTTGGATAATTTATTTAAAAAAGTTAAGTTTGTTATTGTTGAGTTCAAAGCTTTAGGTATAGGTCAATAGTCATAAACATTTTTATGAAATTAAATTTTCATAAAAAATATCGTATATCAAATGCCTAATACATACAACTCAACCCTCGTTATATTTTTCCGTTTGAACGAACATCCAGTAAGACTTCAATACCGGCAATAAAAAGGCTAAATTTGTTAAAGATTTTTATAAGTGTGGGTAGTTTTATGTTATGTGGCAGATTAAACAAGACTCTTTTGTATAATGTTTTTTAATCTACAGCAGAGAACAAATGGTATTTTCTCATTGTTCTTAAGATAAACAATTTTAACTAGAAAAAAAAGTTTAATTTACCGAGATCTAAAACTAGACCAAAACTCCCAAGGTCGGATGTGCGCGGGTCCATTACACACACAGAGGCACGCCACCCCTCGCCCACACACCTACAGGATACGTGTACAGACACCCCTACACATGGTTGCCATGGCAACACAGCATCCTACTTCCACGCCCACAACCCCGGGGCCGAACTCTCAAGATATTACGCCCTACTTCGTTCGCATTGGTGAACCAAAGGGGTGTAGGTATACTGTGCTTGTGTGTGTGACTTAGCCTACACCGTAACCTAACGGAATTCGCCAATTCCATTTGACTCCAGATTTTCGATGGAATTACGGAGTTAAAAGTTGACTAGCAAAACTCGCATGGCGTGAATGCAAACCGAACACTTAACTTTATTTGCAACATTCACCGTCCGCTCGTTAACAAACCTATTCAAATTTGAAGTATTAGTCGATTGAGGCAACATTTCTCGCGTCCTATCGCCACGAGTTCCAATTAGCGACTGCGGCTTGTCGCTCAAGTGCGGTGACGTCACGCCGAGCTTTCATGCGCTTTCAATAACTACCCACTCAGCGATTTCTTCAATAGCCGTCCACTCCACCTGGCCTTCATTAGGGACCTTCTCAATGTTCACGCAAAGCTGAAAAGATGCCTACTAATTTTAAAAATCGCAAGTTTTAACGAGAAAAGTTGTTTAGCTAATAACGCAGTGCGTCTGTCCTGTGTTCTCGTTCACTCAGACCCGTAATATGTATGTTTAATAGGGGCATCTAATTGCTCGGATATAATTTTGAATGATCACTGTCTGTCAGGCGAACAAAGCGAGGCTCAACTCTTTTGTTTCTACCGGTCGTGCCATAGACAAATCTTATTATGGAAATATTTTCAAATTAAGAACGCGCTGCTCCCGCATTATGCGTCTCGACTGTCATCATTGTCTATGGGTTCTTTTTGTTCGTCGCTCGCATGTCGAGGTTTTTCGACCACCGTTTCGGTTATTTTTCTTTTTTAAACTGTCCCGAGCGTGAATGGACTTCTTTGTTTGATCGTGTTTTATTATTAATTAGTGGAGCTTCTTTGTTCGTGGTAATTATTGTCTTAATAAGCAGTTCCTGCTCTTCGAATATAGACGAGTCGCGAAGGGAAAGAGAACCCTTTTGGGATTTTAAAATGCTTGAAATTTATTCGTAATCTTTGTATTTAGACTATTGAACTTAACCCACTGTACATTAAAACTATTAACTTTTGCAAAGGGCAAACTGACGATAAAAGTAGACACATTGTTTGCTGTCATTAAGTTGCAAACCTTTTATTTATATTATAAGTGTTAACAACATACATTATTTCTGTCAAATTTCTATTCAGAAATTAGAAATTTACAACCATTGAACTCGTCAATAAATAGGTAGAATAGCATTCTTTTTATCAAATTTTTAAACGTCTTACCGAAAGAAAGCTGAAAACAAAAAAAAAACTCAAAATTAAATAACGGCCGTGTGTACTGTCGTTTTATATCGTATAATAAAGTGGTGAAAAGAATTCCCAGTTTAATTAGAGGTGAGATACTCTGGGTCGGAAGTGCGACGCGCCTCAATGGCCCTCGTCGGGCGCCATTTTGCATAATTGGGCGACGGAGGGGTAGAACGAAATTTATACGTTCTGGGCGGCAATTTACTTGCTAATGACGCGTCGTCTTGCCATAGTGTAGTTGTCGGGTTTTTGTTACGCCAACCTTAAAAAAACTTTGTTTTGTGCCGGGTTGTTTTTTTTTAGGTTTTTCGACAGGTTTTTCGTGTGGCGGTGGAAATTGTTTGTCGTTAGTGGGTGCTGATAAAGAAGTTTGGAGTTGTTATGTTTGTTTGTCTTTCAAATGTTTGGTTAACTATTATTTTAATTGAGTGGCCTAAAGTATAAAAGGGAGTACAGTAGTACAGTATCTAGCAAGGGTACCCAGCCAACACCAAAACGAGATTTTCTAAGAAAGGAAGAAAAGAAGAAGATAACTTCTTCTGATCCATTGCCTTTTTATTCAATTCAGGAACTATTTTTCGACCTGAATATGTTTATATTTTATTATCTATGGGCCACAGTTTACTCACCGATTCGTTAGGAAAAAAAACATGGTTGTGGTCTATGACCTGTAAGTGACTAAAGTTTCGAATGTTATAACTAATAAAAATAATATAATAATGTCCTTTGTTTGTTTTAGACGGGGAAGATGGGCCTCCCCGCAGGTGGCAGCCTGTCGCTTTTCTGTCCGGGTGGCGAGCTCGGTCAGCCTCCGCCCGCCCATATGGGGATCCCACCGCCCTACCAGCTAGACTCCAAACTTGGTAAGCATATTTAGCTTTATTTTTGTCTTGTTTTCCCAAAATAAAAAGTTAATTTTATTTAAGCAAATTAGTATTGTAATATTCTAGTTCTTCTACTGTAATGTTGTTTTTAGTACGGAGTAAAACGCAGGGTTAAAGCTTTTCGAATATTTTTAAAATGACAAAGTATACGGCCCTTTGTGATAAGCGATTTAGAGATTTTAATAAAAAAACCTTTTTTAAAGAGGCTTTTACTTTAAAAAATGTCATAAAAGAAATACAAGAATATTAAACATATGATAAGCGTAAAAGTTAATGTAGTAACAGTTTCATTACCAGTAACTGACATTAGTGTAATTTTAATTATTTACAGTAAGGTGTTGTCACATTTTAACAGTTTTAGGAAACCGGTAAAATGTTCATTTTGACACTTTAAAACAAATATAAGTTAACTAACTTTTTCCATAATATATTTTTTTTTAACTTTAGTTTTCATCTGACAAATAAGCAGAAGTGTTGCTGTTGCTTACAATATCTAAGCTATAAAATAAGAACTTACATTCTAAGCTCCAGCTCAAACGTTTAATAACAATAAATTCAATATACCGCACTTTGACTCATTTTCAGGGCCTTACTACGTATGTAAGCTCTGAAAATGAGTCAAAGCGTTGTAACGCTAGAATACGAATTTACCTTCCTGTGACGTCGTATAATAAACATTTTAAAATAAAAAAATAATGTAGTACATTGATATAGCGCTTGTTGCAGCGGCGGGGTTGGCGCGGACGCCCATGTACCCGTTCCCTGGGGGTACCTACCCCTACCCCATGCTCAGCCCCGAGATGTCGCAAGTTGCAGCATCATGGTGAGTACCACACTGAATCTAATATAATATGTATTGATTATATTATATCTTAGTTTAACGACTCTTATGAAGACAATATATACATTGAAGTGAAAGTTATCTGATTATGTGAAAGATATCATAGACACAGAAAGTATGTAGACAGGAAAATTTAAATACATATAAAATAGTAAGTGTTGCAAGTGATTACCGCTGAAAAAGAAGAAATGCTCTTGAAGTCTATGGTTAAAATTTTACATGTGAGTAACATCAGAGAGTTTATACAAATCAACGCATGCCAAATACAGATTGAAAAAACTTGCGGTAAAATGAATTTCCATTACCTTTAGGTAAACTTCTAACAATTTAAGGTTTCAATTAATCTACATTGTATTTAAATACATTTTATAATGAGTTTTTTGAGAAGGCAGTTGGCATGCAGCGATTAAAATATTACATACATATATCCACTCACGTCCTTATCCCCGAAGGGGAATACTTTTTGACATATCGATCTAATAAATTCAGCGTCAGACTTAGTGTCGAGTAGTTGCGGGTTCGACCCCCACACAGGACACTAAGGACATGAACTCACTTCTAACAGAGAAGAGGAGACTACTAGAATATGTGTGATCCTTTTAAATTTATTAAACAACTTGTGTATGTTTTTTCAAAATAATTATTTACTTAAAGATAATTGTCAGTGTTTTATTATATTTATACAAATAGTTATATGCTGCACAGGCATACGCCAAGCATGTACCCCATATCGTCAGCGGCGAGCGGTTTCAGAAGTCCGTACCCCACGTCACTGCCCATCTCCAGTTCTAGTCTATCGAGGTAAGAAAACATTAATCATTACAACAATTCAACTCGTAGTTGTGTTATTCTCGTTTTATTCAGAGCAATTACTTTAATTGGCTTAATTAATTGGTGTAATACTGAAATATATTTAAGTTTTGATGTGTAGACTCTAGAAACCCTGAAGGGTCATCTCTTCACCAGATGTAATTGTCAGATTGTATATCGGAATTGAGCCGACGAAAATAACATGGTTATGGGGTTTTGACATGGTTTTAGGTATACTTGTTCTAGAGAGGTAATGCCCGTGAAGAAAAATAGTAATAATAAATACCTACAAAACACAAAAATTTACTGGCACGGAACATGCACTAAGTTTCTGCACTGTGCACCTTGAAATAGATAGAAAAGATGAATTATCATTATTTAGACTTTAGATTTATAAAATGGCAACTCTAGCACTTCGGTTGTTAATTAACGGCATAAACACAACACTTAAATAACACTTTTTTATGAAAAGTGTTACTTTCAATAGAGGCGATTTATCAGTGTTGAAATAAACGTTGAGTTCATAATGCAATATGATAAAAAATAAAACTGACACATGCTTTTTTAAATTACAAGTTAGATAGACTAAATTGATTGAAAAAAATCGTGGAATGGATTTCTATTTTAGTAGTTAGGCTGTCATGGAAATCTATTGCATTAAAAACGAACCATTTCGTCTGCTATGATGCGGATAGAGTCGAAAGTCTGTGGAATATTCATGAATGGGTAGATCTGAATACTATATTATTATTTTATACGATTTTAAATATAGTATTGTAATATATTTTATACACAACACAAAAACACTTCTACGAAATATTCTCATATGGTGCCAAAAAGCCAATGTAATTAAATTTTTAATTTATATGTGACTAGACTTCGTTCGCGTGGAATTTGAAAAGCGCTGCCCTAGTGGGTTCGATTCCCGGACCGGGCAAAATTGTATAGGATTTTTCTGAGAGGAAAAATAGTCTATGTTACAATTATACCTGGTAGTAGAATATTATCAAAATCGGTCCAGCCATTTAGAAGATTACCCGGAACAAACAGAAAGACAGTCATTTGTTTTTAAACTGGTTTTTAGGCAGAGGTATCGTGCAAACAACAGTGTGAGCATGAAAAAAACCCATTATTTTGACATAACAAACAGACACTTCAATTTTATTTATTTCTATAGATAGTATTTATAATAATGTATACCTACAATCCTTGTAATAAGTATATTTCTAGTAGCTATTAAATAATTATTTATGAGGTGTACTTAAATAAATGTACTAAGTTCGCTACTTGGTCTATTATAATTAGTAATTATTTTTAATATTAAAAAAGAACAATATTTAACTCAATTCGTCAACTTTGTGAAATAATGCTGTATTCTCTAATATTTTTAACAGTCCAATTTTCTTCGATAGTGAGTTGTACCGGTTTTCCCCAACGCTGGGCGGTGGCCTTGGCTTGGGCCTAGGACCTGCGCTCGTACCTCCTCCCCCTTCCAAGTCAGACCTTGATTCGCATCACAGATACGCAAGGTGAGTGATTTCTTTTCTGTTTTCATTATTGTTTATAAATTTATTCCGTTCTGTTTTAGAGTATTTATACTGATATATGTTGTACCATTTCTAATATATTTAAGTTTGGAAATACATATGCTTTTCACGCCATAACTACCCATGATTTCTCATCGATTAGTCTATGTGGATTTTAATTGCCTGTAAAATTGCTTTCAACTGCAAGTTCTGAGTGGGAATCCAACCTTGGCTCAACAGACAGGGTCATATAAAAGTTGACCAACAGGTCATTAATTTTTTTTCTAGTGTACAATATATTTTAATTCAATTATATTTTTAAATTTCATAAGTCTTCTGCTAATTCCATAAAACTAAAATCAAACAGAAAATGCAACAATTTAAGTTATAAAGTAAACACTTATCACAACATGTGTTTCACCCTTGTATGCTTTATCTGCCATCTACGCAACAATGGGGGTGGGCAGTATAATAGCTGCGATAACATCACGCTATGATATTCAGAGATTAGCAGCAAGGGTGTGATTGTTACAATAGGTGGAATTGAAACGTTTTGTAACTCGCTTATTATAATAATTCTAAATGCAGTTACATGTTGTAATTATGGAGAAGGGCGCGTGCCACGAATAAAAAAAATCGCTTTATTTAATCGCTGTGTTTTTTAGAAGTGAAGTATGTAGTTTTAAGTCTTTACCGTATTATTATTATTATTTAATGGTGCTAGTTATAATATAGGAAATATGAAACTATATCGGAAAAGGGTTATCTGTTTCTTAAATCTGCAAAGCGCAGTACTGGTCGTGCTCTACTATACTATAAACTAAATTTTTGTGGTGTACTAAAGTAAACCTCATTTTAATTTTATTTTTTTACACATAATATAATTAATGCCTATAATCAAAGGTAATGCTAACTAATTACTTTAACGTTAGTAACTCCATCTCTGCCGCTGTCATAGCCATGAAAATTGGCTGATAGCAGCCTAGAGGTGCGACAGGTCACAGATAACCTATTGGTATGGGGGGTTCGAGCTCGCAACCATTTAGTCAAAAGTCCATCGTCTTAGCCATTACGCAAGTGCGTAGTAGGACTAGTTAGTTCATAAGATATCTTTTGAAATAATTTCAAAATCAAGTCAAGGCTTTATATATATATATATATATATATATATATATATATATATATATATATGTGGTATAGGATAAGTTACCTATTGTTACTTAGATGAAAAAAGTACCATCATAATGTTGAATATTTCGAAACCATAGTCGTCAGGATTTAAGACTCACTCGATCAGTCAAAAATACACACCTTTGGTTGACTTTCACAAAACACTTTAAACCTTTCAAGTTAAAGCATACTTAATCATGAGTGTATTTAAAAACATCAGTTGTTTTGCATAAGTCCCTTCGATCTCTTAAAGGACTGGTAACGAGAAATCCGATGCGTACGCGCACTGCCAGTTACCAGGGAATTAATACAAACTTATAACAGTCAAAATACATAATTAGTGTTGGGTCTCAGTGCTAGCGAACAGCGAAAATTTTTCTCTGTTCTGTTCCACGATTGGGTATGCGTCTGCCCTTAGTTTATGAGGGATTATGATGGTCCAAAAGTCTGGCCTGATGTACATTGTCAGACTCTATAAAAGTTCTACAATATAATAAACCGAAAAATATGCGTATTTGGGGAAGTAAATAAATTAGATATTACAAATTATTTTTTATTTGCTTAACGGAAGTTGAGCAACACTATTAAAAATTTTAAACAGCTCTCTATATTATTGTCTCCTACAATTTATGTAAATGTGCAGAAAAATACAATACTTACTAAAACAGCCTACTTTGGTTCCGTATATATGTAGATTACCCGAAGTAACGTAATCGCTCACTAATGCATCAACAGCTTTTCTCAGTTATCGCTCGCAGTATGGCTACAGCTGAATGCACATAAAAGTCCAGGTATAATCATGTAAATAAGTCGGTGGCGGAGAAATTTAATTAAGATGATATATGAGAGGAGAGACTAACGGGCGCGTCACTGAAGTACAGTCGCCCACAAAATATTCAAAATCTTTGGCTTGTAGACTTTGGTTGTTGTGGGTGGTTATACTCGCAATACAGTTGCAAAAGCTTTTAGATTCCACGGTTGCAAAAAAAACTGCTATGTATTTATCAAAATAAGGTACATTTTCGCTAAACACAGCGATTGTGGGTAATAAACGAGTGGTTCCGTCATTAGATGTGTATAGTAAACCGTCATTAGATGTGTGAGACTTATGTAGATATTTTAATATTTAAATTATTATAGATCCTCCACAACACAAATCACTCAGAAAACTTTGCTTCAGTAGGTAAATTAAAAACTGTATTAATTTTGACTCAAAACTTGACCCATAGTTTGGATTTCTTAGCCAATACTAGTAAGTACCAAATGATGTATGATTTGGTACTTATTGATCGGGTAACATAATTTTGAATTATAAAAATGCAAAACTTCTTTACATTGTATGTATGTTTTTTTATAAATAAAAGTATAGACAACTTCCGCACTATGAATAATTCCTGTGTTGACTCCGCAATAATTTTAAAATATAAGAGAAAATGGACACAAAAACCACCTAGACTTGAGACCACCATTTTGAATCACAAAGCACAGTCTCGTATGGAAATCGAACACCCGATTGGTATACAGGCGAAGTGAGCACTGAAGTCATTGCATAATATACAAGTATATCAAAGCTTAATTGCGGTAACATTTCCGTCATGCAAAACTATCGAAAGATAAACATTTTTATATTACCACGATTTAATAACGAATGTATAACTAATATAGCTTGTAAGTTGCAACGTTCGAAACATGTTTGGAATAAATTTAAATATTCAACACTTGATAGTAATCATTTACTTAAGCACCAATTAATCTTATCTTTACCTTGTTATACGGTTTTATTTAGTGATTATGTTAAGTAAAGCGTGCATCCGCTTCAGCATGAAATTTGATTTTCTAATTAACTTCCTTGCTAAGTATTTAGAAAAAAAGATAAATGCTACCGGTATTCCGGTGATTATACTGTGAATCTACTGTTATGTAGAGATACTGCGAATTTACGGATTTATGAGATTCCGGGAATTTAGTTTAACATCGCACCTTCATATATCCGGTGATATCGTGCATTCTTAATTGAACGCTTTAATAGCAGTATTTTTCATTTTCGATCTCAAAATATTTTTGTTATTGGAAATACTTTAAAAAATGCTGTATGTTATATTTGTTTTTATGAAAAATAGACGCAAACTATCTTGAAATATTCGTACATGTAATAGTGTTTTTAAGTAACTATAATAAAATGGTAAAAATATTATATTAATAATATTATTTTAATACCAAAGCGAACGTTTTCGCTGCGACTGTACATAACACATAATTATTGCGCGCGCGCCGCCGAATACCTCGTTTGGATGCAAGCGCATTGTGCCCAGATTTTCTTTCTCTTTTTATATCTTTCCCCATTTTTAAAACATCCATAGGAAGTCGTATATTTCCAGCTAGTTTGGTTATATTCAGAACTAATTTGGTGCATAAAACTTTTACATTGGACATCTAAGCCAACAACTTATGTATCACTGACAATGTATTTTATTGATTCTATTTATACTGATTTAAAATACAACCGTTTGCAGGAAGTCATTTTTTACTACAGTTTTGCTTTTCTTTTAGTATTTAAGGCCATTACTAAAAACTATTTAAATGTTAGTCTTTAATTAAGTTTTTTTATTAGCTTGTTGTTTTTTAGAAAACTACTCTATTGAGTGAGTGTGGTTACCGAAGGGTCAAATCTTCATTGTTTTTGAAAGGGCTCTTTTCTTTCTTGCATTCCAGATGTCCATGGGGCGTGGTTGTCACTTACCATCAGGCTATCCGTCTACTAGTTTACCCCTCATCAGCAACTTTTAATAGTCCACTGTTTGACATAGACTTCTCCTCAGAAAGGAGGTTTTGGTCTACTATACCACGCTGGCCAGACGAGTTGGTATAGGGTTTGTTTCATATTTTCCTTCTCTTCACTTGTCCTACGTCGTTTTCTCCCTTAGTCGGCTCTTACGATGATACGGTATGAATAGGGATGGTAACACTTCGTATTCTAAATCCGTCACCACACGGAATTTGCGAATTACCCCCTATACGATAAAAAAAGAATATTCTTAACAGCTAAATGTCCATGTTTATATACGTTTCTTTAGTTTCTTAATCACACTTCTTACCAATAGTAGGTTTAGTAGCTACATTCAGTTCCAGTTACAATTTGAGACCATATTTTAGAATTACGAGCCCGGTTTTAGGTAGAGCTCTGCAAAGGTCAATGTCATTATGATGGTTTTATGGAGGCTGTCTGTATTTGTATATTTTAAGATTAAAGTAGTCCACCGACGGTACAAAGTCATTCTAGTTTTGCTCTATGAAGAAGGTACGAACTAAGAAATACAAGATTATTATTCTGTATGATGCTTTACATATAATGCTAGTCAGTGGAAAATCGTTATCATGAACTTGTCCGTGTTTGATATTTTGTTAAATAGTGTATTTTAGAGAATGTAAAATCGATTTTTCAAAATTTTCTCAGTACGACGTATATATAGTGTCAGATAATAAAAAAAATTGTTCTAAGGATGACTTGCTTACCTTGAACTCTTACCGTTACTGTTAGTGAGGAGCAGCAATTGACTTCTGTGTCATTATATCTTTCTTAAATACACATAATATACAAAAGGAAATGACACGTGTCATCTCACTTGATCACTTTACACTTTTGTGACATCGTGTAAAGTAGTTTGCTTAAACTAGAATAATTCACTCGAAAACTACCTATTTGCTTATGAAAATATATGTTTTATCGACAATATTAGCGGCAGACATTTTTCTCAGAACACAAGACCCTTGATTGTTTAGAGTAATCCATATCTACATACAAATCTAAAATTACTTACAATAATTACGTCCATAGCTCATACAAGTGTGCGCATGTATGTGTACGAAGCGCGCGCGCCGCCGGAAACGCGCGTCTATTTCGAACCGGACGCACTGTGTTTATTGTCTACTGTCTCTCTGGTGTCGTTAACACCTAAAGTCGGATTAACATATTGATCCCACTAGTCGAGAAATAGATAAATGTTGACGAACACTTTATTGTGACAACGCATGGTCACATTAAATTTGTGTAATTACATTTATAAGATAACGCTTTTGTTGACAACTGTACGAGCCGTTAAGTTTTAAAAACAAGTATATTTATATTTGAGAAATAAATTGTACAGGATGTCTTAAAATTGATTTTAGATCGCTTTTAAGACGACATGCATTCAACATTATTTATAAAAGTTTCTTCTTTACTTCTTCTTTTTCTATATAAACAGTTATGTCACAGATACTATGACATAGATAGATGACACTTTGAATTTTGATATCCCTTATTACTGAATTTTCTAATTAATTAAAATTAAATCTCAAGGCGTCAACAATTTAAAAAACAAATCTTGCTAAATTATTACAGATCGCTTGAGAAAGGCAGCAGCAGCTCTTCAAGTGACAAACCAGCTGACAGTTCAGCGAATTCGAACAATAAGGAACAAAACAAAAAACCTCACATAAAGAAACCTTTAAATGCCTTTATGCTGTACATGAAGGAAATGAGAGCTAAGGTAGTAGCAGAGTGCACCCTCAAGGAATCAGCCGCCATCAACCAGATACTGGGCAGACGGGTGAGTTTGAATTCTATCAATAGAATTTAACTTATATAAGTTTCAGCCTTAGTTCTATTTTTAAATATTCTCCTTTTCTAAGCAGAAGAAAGAATTGAAATTTTAAAAAGAAAAGAGAAATGCATAACTTTAATTTCAAACTTTTATTTGCGATACACAAAGCAATTCAAATATTTAAATTTCGAACGATAAAATGCCTTTGGTTTATCATTATACAAAACAAATTTCAACAATTGTTTTGTTCGAGAATTTTTTTCGAAAGGTTCCAATTGCAATGAAATGAAGTGAAATTTTATTTACCTTTAAACATGTACATAGTATTTCACATGATTGATACACTTAAAAAAAGGTTTGAAATTTAAATGGTTTCCAAGGGCCAAAGATCAGATCCTAATACTGTTCATAGTCGAGTGACGTTTGTATTGCAATTTGTCATCCCACACAACGGCGAGAGAACAATATTGTGAGCGCTATAATAAAGGGGCTTATCCACGACAAATAATAATATTCTCAACAACTTAGATATCGAAGTTAATATTGCCGTAGTTTATTCAAAACTACTTACACTTATGTTTACATTAAATGACCTTCTTTGAATAAATTATTACGTGTTATTGTTAACAGACTATAGGAAAAATATTTACATTCACTTCTTAACATACTTTTCACTAATTAATAGAGAAACAGAATCTTTGAAAACGAGTACTTCTTCAATTCGTAAATATATTACCTGGTCCCTCTTTTCTCAGTTTGAAGACATTTATCCAGTCACAAAACATTAACAGTCGGATTGGTCTTGAACGTATCTGCAATGATAATTGCCATAGAAGACATAAGATTGTGGACACTTGTTTACGTGTAATTTAGTAATATCTGACTAGTCTATGTCTATAATTCGATTCAACCCTTGTTAAACTTGTAAGGAATACGATTTGCAGGCCGATCGCCCATCTGATAGATGTTTCAAGTAATAAATAGTTGACCGTAACGCGCTTCCGAGAACCGAACTAGTCAGTAGTTCCCAGAACGCAATCTCATTCCTAACAAGAGTAACAATAATATAAAAAAACTTAAGTCGTGGTCATATGTTGCGACTGGTAACCCGATATCCTCATATCATAATACGCAGTGGCATTCGTTGAGTCGCGAGGAACAAGCAAAGTACTATGAGAAAGCGAGACAGGAGAGACAGCTTCATATGCAGCTGTACCCCGGTTGGAGCGCGCGAGACAACTACGGTTACGGGTCCAAAAAGAAAAAGCGGAAAAAGGACCGCAGTCCCGCTGAACTGGGAGGTACTGCAGAGCGCCAACGTCGAGGGGCTGGGCATTGTCCATGGACGCTTGTACACTCGCTTCACCCTACCGTCCGTCCCTGGAGTCCCGCACCCCTCACTAACACAGGAGACTTGCTTGCTAGTCGGTGACCCCGTGTTAACAGACCGGCTTGAACCCACTAACGACAGCATCCGTAACCGACCCAGACCCCGAGTCCTTGTGTGTGTGTCCGCGTGTGTGCGCGTGTATGTGTGTGTGTGTGCGCGTCGACACGACGGTGCCTGTGCTAGAAAAGCGGTGCTAACGAGTCGAGTGGGTGCCGGGCGCGTCAGGGCTCGCGGGTGAAGGCACGCCCGCGCGCCCTCACGCGCCCTTACATGTTACGTGTTCTGTGTACTGTAGTCGTCCAGTGAGCGTGTACCGTACACCCTACACCCCCGACCGGAAACTATATTGGTTTGTTATATGTCTAGACGAGACGCGAAGATACGCGCAGAATAGGTTCTGTGAGGAAAATCACAATTGGCCATTCTCATTCTGTAGGAGCAAAATTTTTCTATACGTATCCGATTAGTGCCGCTCGCTGCCGGCTGTTTTTCTAGCACCTGCGTTAGGGTCGCGCGGACTAACGCCAGCCGGTCCTGGTCCACCGTCGAAGTGCATTTCTCTCTTTTCTTTCCATATTGCGGCGTCTGTTGACACGGTACAGTGGCATGCGCTTGGCCGCGAGGAGCAAGCCAAGTATTACGAGCTGGCGCGCCGTGAACGCCAGCTACACATGCAACTGTATCCCGATTGGTCGTCTAGGGCTAATACGCAAAGGGGCAAGAAGAGGAAACGAAAACAGGAGACAACCGATGGAGGTACTGCCTTTCACTCCGTCGACGAGCTTCCTACCCACTCCCACCCTAATTATGCCTTTCCCACGTCCTTAACCCATCCGTGGCTCAGCCAGCCGACCTGGCGTTCAATACTATATCGTATAAATAGGTCACGAGCCACACACATGTCCCGGAGCGACCGATGTGGCGTCGTATCAATGCAATACGCGCTTCGGCTCATTAAAAAAATGAGGTCAATTAACGAAGGATTAAGCTGGAGACGTTGGTTGCTCCGCTCCTCTCCCCCACCTCGCCCCGTTACCCGCTCCCCTCCCGGTTCCTGCCATCATCTCCCGCGAGAGTTCAATTGCTTTGAACTCCGCTCCGAGCGAATCGACCGACATAGTATATTGTCTTGGTTGAAGGGGTACGAGGTTGTAGATATATACAAGTATTTTTGTTTATTTAATATTTATCGCATTTATTTATTTCATTTAAAACGCTATATTATGGAGAGTTCCCTGACACAGTGGTCCTTCGAAGGTTGTCCCGGTTTTATGCTTTCCGTTTTGCTCCTGTGTGCCGAAGTTCCGGGGAGCGTGCATGTTAACGCAAGTCAATATTTGAACACCTGAGTAATTGCTTTGCAGGGAGTGTAGTTAATGTCGGACAAGGCTGGGACAGCCTTCCTCGGCGGTAGAAAGTACTCAAAGGAGTAGAGTGGGAGCAGCGAGCGCCCCCGTCGAGGACCCGTCCAGGGCTCGCTATATACAGACCTGCCGATGCTTCTTGTGTCTGCAGTGCAATGATACTGGCCAAATAAAGTCACGAATATTTATTTTGATTCCGGAGAACCTATTCTGCTTCAATTTGCTTATAGTCGACATGTTTATTTGTTGTTTATTTTTCGAAAAGCGTAGATTTTTTAAATATTTATTTTTGAACGTTTATGCGTGTAGTATGTTATTTTTTTAAAACCAATGTTTTTTCCGTTGTTACCTTTCATTTGTCCCATCCTACCCTGCATGCTACTAATACGAGGAGATTGCATGTAGTGCTTTTTGGTAGTGCGTAGTGTAGAATAGTTTTTAAAAGCTTGAAATATGATTTCCGGTAAATTAATTTCTGCACCTCAGTACAGCCGACATTCCTTTTAATTTTCACGGCAAAGAAAATTTACTCGATATCATATTTTTGTGTACGAATTGTTTTGCAAAAGTAGACTGATTATTTTGCGTATGTTTTGCAACAGTTGGTGGTAGAGTGACTTTAGTGTTGATAGGGAGGATATGTTCTAAAACTGGTTGTGTGTATACTTTCAGGAAATAATTTGAAGAAATGTCGAGCGAGATACGGTCTCGACCAACAGAATCAATGGTGCAAACCTTGCAGGTGGGACTCATTTGTTATTTATTTATTTTGTTTTCGCTTGTACAAAATTACCGCGTCACTGATCAACAGTACCTGGTACTGTGAGTCAAGTTCAAATTGTTTCTATGTGGAAAGACTTGGGTTGTCCTCGAACACCAAGAGTAGCCCGGTCGACATTTTACTTTGCCATTATTTATTTATAAATAATTACATTATTGTAGTTGTTGTATTATTGTTTTTATGTTATATTTAATTTACATATTAGTAAATTAAGGATTTATGGGTGTACGGCGAAGCAGATAATTCAGAAAATGTGTCTTTTCACAAAGAAATAAATCACTTAGATATCACAGAATAGATTTTTTTGAAAGTAGCCGAAGTTTTGAAGTAGCTACCATAGGAGAGCGTAGAACATAGGTCAGAGAGAGGGCAATCATTTGTCGAAAGCTTTCAAAAAAATCTTGACACATTTTCTGAATATGCTTCGTCGTATTTATGTTGTTAAAAGTTCATGTTTACTTATTTAAAAATGTTTTTTCCACTCATGATTGCCGCTTCTCATGGACCCGGAACCGCTGGCACTATTGGTGACACGTCACGTCTCTTACCACCTTTTTGTTTCGTTTATTTTATTTTTTTATTGGAACCACACGCCATTTGACTCGAAACTACATTTGTTTTACCTGATTTCCTATTTCTTATATATTTCCCTGTATTATTATTAACTTGTATCTATATATTTTATTAATTTCCTTTCGTTTTGTAAATATTACCTACCCATTCATGATGATCCGTCCACGGTAACCATTCCGGGCCACAGTCCCGAGTCAACTAGCGTGATGGTATCCGGCGGGCTGGGCCTGTTGCGGCCGGAGCCGGCGACGTCGCTGCCGGCCGCGAGCCTGGTCAGCCCGCAGGAGCCCACGTACGTCAACCTCTAGTGCCGGCCAGCGCCCGCCGGCAACACGGACACGGTTGGTCACCACTGTAGTAGTCACTGTTGGATGTTGACTGGAGTGTGTGTAATAGACGTAACTAGGTATTCTTCTCGCTAACTGAACCCTGATTCAAAAAATCTATTTAACGATAAAAAAGACCTGAATGGCTATAAAGTTGTAGTAGTTCTAAATCTTGCATTATTAAGAACAATTTCGATTAAGTCAACCTTAAAACAAAAAAAGATATACCTTCTGTCAGTGTACCTCAGGTTGTCCGATACTCAGTTTCACAAGTGAAATCTTAAACTTTAAATATTTTATTTCTTAAAATGTATATTATTGTAATTTTTAAATCGATTTTATAAATTGCCAAAGAAGAAAATATTGAGTAATTCAAAAATACCCATTGTTATCTGTCTTTATTGACCGATAACATTCTTCCTAGTTACGTCTATGACGATTTGCAAATAATTCTCAAATATTAGCAACGTGTGACTTTTTAATGAGCAGTTTAAACTTACTTATTAGTCTTTGTGTAATTACGTAAATGCATAATCATATGTGAAACGTTTTAGTTAAGAGGAAGCCTGGCTGTTAATATTTTAGTGCGGAATGTCGTTATTTTTGTCGTAGGTAGAGTTGCTTATTTAAGTTGTCGTTTAAGCTAATTATTTAACAATTTTTTTCAGCATGAGTGTTACGATGACTTCGAGTGTTTTCAGTTTCTTTTAACAATGTTTTAGCATGTCTCTGTTAACATGATTTGATGTGTTCGATGTTAAGTAGGATAGATTACCCTAGTTATTTTTTTCATTGGGAAATTGTTTCGGAATTTTAATTCGGTATCGTGTTCATCATAACTTTAATGTTTTCCCCTACAACGAGATTCACTTTGCAGTCTGTATATCAAAAATAAAAATTACGAAGCAGTTTTCCGAGTCACTTCGTTACCTCACAAACTATTTAACCGTACTCGTCTACTTTCCAGGCGGAAGAAAAAGTGCGTACGCTACATGGAAGCCCTGGCGGCGGCGTCGGGGTCGGTCCCCCTCGCGATGGCGACCCCGCAGTCGCCCTGCTCTGAGGAGGACGTGAAGCTGGAGGAGATGTCGGACGCGTCGGACGACGACGCCGACACGCCGCTCAACTCGGCGTCGAGCCCGGGCGGGCTGAGCGCGCTGTCGTCGCTGGCGTCGCCCGCGTCCGAGCCGCCGCCCGCGCCGCGCCACCCGGTCGGCACCAACCCGCGCGACGCCAACAACCCGCTGTCCGTCGGCCAGCTCACCTCCCAGACCTGGCCCCGCGCCGCCCCGCGACCCCCCCACGAGGCCATCTCCGTCTCGTAGTCGCGCGTCTCACCTCCCCCCGACCGTCACCCCCGGACCTTTACTGTAAACCTACTCGTTCAGTGTTTCGTTCTAGAGACGTTGCAGGCGGAACGGTGAGCGGTTAGTTTTAACGTGCCCTGTGTGCGGTCGCACGACGAGGACGCTGCGCGCCTCCGGCGGCCGCGAGGCGAGGCGCGTCGGTTGTGATATGAACGTTACGAATTACCGATCGTCGCTACCGTTCTCGTTTCGAGACCGACGGTAGTGACTTAACCTACCTCTGTTCGGCTTTCGATGAGTATCTGCGTATGGAAGTACCGGCATTTTTGTGTACGTTTTAACTGTCGCCGTTCCGAGCGAGACTACTCTATTCGTGTAATCATACAATTTAAAGATGTTTCTTCAATAAAAGGGCCTAATGTTTAACTAAAGAATAGTACATATATAAACTACCAAGTGCACGGTATTTCTATAGACAGATATGAGTCAAGAAAGAGCGGCTACATGCTACAGCCTAATTCTAAACCTTCGAGTAGCCCGCTTCGGTCGAAATGATCTCAAAATTGTGAGCCGGAATCGAGTCATTTATAGTGCATTTTTGTATAAAAACCCACGCTTTTAATGCCCAAATATGAACACCCAGCCGTACTAGTCCCATCAACGTGTGCCATGTTTAAGTAAAATGTCTTTTGAACCACTTTTTGTCACTTATTTGTAATATTTCAATGATAAAAAGACACTTACGTTTTCTGCACTACAGAAAATATGGCAGTATTAAATGGAATGCAATTCAACCGCATTACTCAATATAATCCAGTCATTTTACATATAATAAGATTTGCATTCCACTTAGTGTTACCATTTTATAACTTAAAACATTTTAATTAATTAACAATAATGTACATTTCGTTCTACAAAATATAACTTATCATTATTTGAAGAATATTTGGTTAATAAAAGTGTGGGCTTCTCTATCCACCTACATATATCTATAATAGTCAACCCTATTTTAAACTTAATCCTTATATTTGATTTCAAGAGCAAATTTACAAATTTTTCAACTTTAAAAAAAAACTGTCAAACATTATATTTAATGTTACATCGAAACAAAAATAAAATGTGAAATAATAATAAAATTCATAATGTTGTGACGAACAACTATCACCTCTATTGCTCTCTTAATAATCAACATTTTTGTTTGTAACAGGCCTTTCGCTTGCGTTTAAGCATTCGAAGAAAATCTTGTACTTTTTTTTACTTAAAATTGGCTTTAGTGGAATAACAGATACATACTCAGCATAAATCGCGCCATGACGTCATCTTTCATAAAATAAAAACACTTTGTATTGATGCATGTTTTCTACAGCGTTTAATGATGAAACTTTTAGATATCCTGTATCAATATAAAATGTGTTAAAGGAAATTTTCCTTAATTTCGTTGTATGAAGATTATGTTTTTGTTTTTTTACTCTACTTTCTCGTTAGCTACAAAAAGGCCTGGTTTTTTAAATTCTCTTACCAACGGCCTGCACCACATTAAAGGTTCCATGTAGCGTTAAAGATTTTGAATTTAGTTATAAAGTGTTTTCCCTTCGTACAAAGCTCTGTATAAAGTAAATGTTAAGGCGAAACGAAGGGAACTTGTTTTTCCGTTGTACGGAACTTGTTAGACTGTCGTAGAATAGACTAGGCACGTTGTATGAGTGAAGTATATTATATATAAGGTGTTGTGCCGTCGCCCTCAAACACAGATCATATAAAATGCATGCGATCTTGTATTACGTATTTATTTGTTTGATTACAATCTATATTAAGGTAACGACAGCATTATTTACCATGGATTGATTTTACATCTTTAAGCATGTAAAATATTAAAAATGTATTATGATATTAATTGAAGGGATTTTTAAACTCAATCTAATTCTTGAAAAACACGCCATCTACATTTTATTGATTAAACTGACATCGTATAATAATTATGTCTGTAGCTATTACCACAAAATGGCGCTCATTGTCGAATGAAATAATTTTAAAGGCGTATCGGTACAACATTAAAACTGTATATGTGTAAGTACATACATGATGTAAAAATATAGCTATAATGTAACTGTGTCATATTAGAATATAAGTGTACTAGGCTACTTACATATGTATACATTATTATTATATAAAAAGAAGTTTAAAAGAAAAAATATTAGTTAAATACTGACTCGAAAATGATAAACGTTTGGTACATACGAAGACACAAGATGTTTTATAAATTGGCAACCCCCGATGAGTCGATTTTGTAAATAAATTTGTAATTCACAAATATATAGGACATTTTTGGTATAAAAATATTGCATTTATATGATTATTAAAAGTGATTAGTGCCCTCGGAATGTTCTCGGATGGTTTGTTTTGTCCAACAAATGATTTTTTTTGTTAATTACTTTTTATTGTTATTATTAAGAATTTTAACGTTGTTGAACCACCACATCTAATCGATTCTGTAAATTGAGCTTCGTGATTGGACATTTTCAAATAAAATCGGGTATTTTTTGAATAGGCGACACAAGATTCTACTTTATCAACTGACAATATCAAAAGGACCATCATTTCTTAATTTTTACACTCTGACTAGACAGAGGAGGCATTGAAATTATAATATTGATCATTCGTACGATTTTGCATGAAATCAGAATTTGTGCAATACTAAACAAAATGGGTACTGTAGTGTTCTAAATATTAAATTAGATTTTTCTTAAATTTATTGATAAGGTATATTTTTGAGTTTTATATAGAGAATGATGGATTTGATTTTTTTTGTTCCAAAAATTATTATTTTTGTTTGTCCGGTGCCTAAACCATCTAGAACTGAAAAATTGCCAGGGAATTATGAACAGTTGTGACGATACATCATAATGTCTGTGCCAAATTTATCTTCAAACTGCTCTAGGTATTGTCACAGAATACCTAAAAGCCGCGGCTTCAGCATCTGTTTCACTCAAAACTTAACAATTATGTTACATACAGTCAAGGAGGTTAAATGTTGAATACACAATTTTGTGTATATGTTTTTGTTTCATGTTTACAATCTTTTTGTAGAATTTTGAGGAAACATGCGCTGGAGCGCGACTTGTCTTGTCTTTTATGTTGATAGATTTTATAGGTTGTTTTTTTATTGTTAAGAGGGTAAAGACAGATGGCTATAATGGCCAGTTATATTTTTTTTAGTAGAGAGAATTGTCAAATTAGAAAAAACTCAATTTATTAGGTCTGGTCCCATGTCTTGTGTTCAGTTGAACGAATATTATTTTAATAAACAACTTAAAAATTGTATTCGCGCTGTTTTATTTCTACTTGTTTGGTAATGTTATTCATTCAAACATTACAATTAACTATGTTTTTAAGATTGCAGTTTATTTTTAAATCCAGAAGTACACCGATGTATACAACATTTAAAAACTTCCATTGAGAACTTAACGACCACATACGAGTATCAGCGATCTACATTACCATCTTGTGACAGCTTTATGCCCAAGTAAAAACATCAAGGCTGCCGGCGGCAGCTTATTAGGAAGCCGCGTACTTGATTGCCAATGTAATAGTGTAGTCTCTCCTTAGACCTCTGCATTAAACACTCACTACTAGGTACTAGGTACGCGCAATGGTTTCATAGGCCCAAGTGTAAGTTTAATTCACATTCTCGATCGTCACGGTCACCGCGTTTGGCCGGAGTTGAAATGTTCACAAATCCCAACGCAAAACACGCTCGCTGTCGAGAGTGAATTGGTGTGACATAAACTTGCACAAGGCCTCTTACCTCTTAAGTGAAATCGTCGCTATGTCATCTCCTATCATCGCTACTTACATCATCCTCGCTACTTAGACTTAGACTTAGCTAGTTAGACGTCTCGGCAGTGGTTTATGATTATACAGCTATTGTACGTAGATTAAAGAAAACAAATGTTAAGATTACATTGTTTATTTGTGACAATGCATAATAGAGAATATACATTCAGAAATAATGTAAAACGCTATAAAAATTGTGACACAGGTTGCAAGACTAGGTAGGGAAGAAATTACACATTAATGTTTTTGTACTGTGCTGTTGAAACATTTGGCCCCGATACAGACCAATTCTATGCCATTTTTATTTTGTTTCGGGCTGTTTTTGTAAAACTATTAACGGTAACAGAATATCAAAATTCAAAAATTCTAATTGATTATTCAGTTATATAGCTGTTGTTTTTTATATTTATAATTAAGTTCTATAATTTAATTATGAATATTTTATCAAAGTTATTCTGTTAAGATGGATATTCTGTAACAGCTAAATTATTGCAATGGGGTCGTAATTGAATTAGTTTACACGAGCTTGTTTTCTTAAGTGGTGGCAGTAGTTTTTTAATAAAAGTTTTCTTTAAAAGAAAAACGTGACTGTTAAGGTCTTAACATCTGGTTTTTCCAAGAATGGCAGTTTCTTATTACAAATCATTGGCTAACGTTTACTACGGGATGTGCAAGTAATAAGCCAATGTCCATCTGGATTTACCGGCAGTCAGGTTATTAAAAAAGTGTCTTTTATGAGTTCGTAAAAGACGCTTTTTGTTATGCTTCTCGATTTCGACCCCATTGCTTTGACTTATCAGGAGACAGTACAAGTGAAATACAAAAGTGCTTATAAACAATTAAGACCTTATAACATAACTTACAATAAACAGACATCACAAGAAGCTACATACAACCGCCGAACTTGGCTTCACTCACACTTTACCTACTTAAATATTAAAATTATGAATTTCAATGTTATGATATCGTATGATGTATGTATAGTAACAAAAATGTAATAACTTGGGTTAATATTGATGAAAGTGATTTTTATATGTCAATGTCGATTTTAATCATTCAAACGATCCCTTAGGGGGACGCATATAACTAAAGTCTGCATTTAAGTCAATAGCAATGATAATTATATTAATTTACGCAAATATAAATGCACTGACAAATATTTTTTGGCTAGTTTATTTAAAAAAATATTTTGGAAGTTCTATCGATGTTAGCCTAAGTGATTGTATAAAATGTATAACAAGGAATACAATTCCAGCATGATCTTAGAAATTTTTTCTAAAAAGTGTACGATTAAAATTACAAAATTAATAATTATTATAACCATTGTTAACATTAACTTAAACAGTTTAAATTTTTCATATAAATATGCAATAAGCTGACATAATTATCAAATGTTTAAGGCAATATTTTTTGATTATTACGCCATCTGTTGTAAAGGTCTTTGAACCAATAAAGTTTTTGGAAATTGATTGTATTACCGTGTTGCAATATTGCATATTCATATAAATATGTATGTTACCCAATCATCACACAAGCATAATCATCGTAAACAACTTTTAGATAATTAATAATGATATTATCTAGGCATACTTAATATTCTCTACACCATACACGCGGTACTGATCGCTGCTAACTGATTTTAATAAATAATGTATTACTTGACAACTACACCGTGGCACAAAATTATATCAATAATTCACTACTGCTTCACATAAGTAATCTGCAAAACGAATTCTTTAGTACATAATTTTGAAATTGTTTAGTAGATAAAAATTAAGATCTTCAGGGGCTCACGGATTTCTTTATAATATTAATTTTATAAAAAAAAATGGTTGATATTTATATTTTGTTTTTGATAGAGTATCCCGTCGTTTCCTGCCAGTACTAAGCAGCTCAGCAAATTAACTCAATGTTTCGTCTATTGTGATGCTGTCAAATGCTTGTTGTATATGTTGATATACAAAAGTCAAGGATGCCCCACTCTAGTTGTCAAGTAGCCCAATATAGTTAATAATAAACCATGTTATTATGTCATGTCTAACTAAACAGTCTAACATACTATGCTATAAGCTTTGGGTTAATTTTGCTTAAATGGTTTTTAGCCGCCCCAAGCCTTGGGAACTTCCACTTGTGAACAAGATTCAGTTTCAATAATAAGTGTGTGTTAATCTAAAAAATAACAAATGCTTCGGTTATTAGAAAATATGTTGTTTATAATTTCAATGTTGCGAAAATATATAAGAAAAAAAACCTGACTGATACGAGAGTGGTAACGAAATTTTGTTTATAGACATTAAGAAAATGATTTTCATTTTCATCATAAAAATAAATAATTTTAATTAAATACACTTTTCATCGTAATTAGAATATACAACAAAAATGTTGTTTTATTTCACGTTGAAATACAATTATATAAGTTGATATCTGCCAATTGAGCTAATGATAGCCAACAGACGACTAGCTACGTGTTCACAAGTAGGAGTGCCTCCCTCCCTTGCTGCGTATCTACCAGAGGCCGGAGGACTTGCCCCCAGGGGGGTTCCTCACGCGCACCGACGTCTTCGTGTCCAGTCCCTCCACCTCTTCTGCAAACAGAAAACATTAATGTTTTAAATAATACGCTTTTTGGCAGTACTTTCCTGTCTCTTCACTATTGAGTAAGTGTCGCTCAGCAATAAAAAAAACTTATTAATAGATTTAAAATAAATTGGCAATACTTTGGCACATTTCTTGGTTACATTCTGTTTAAAATTTCTGAAGTAACATTCTGCCTAATTCTACCCAAAAGGTACTGAATTGCACCCAACTTAGTTTTTTTTTAATATTTTAAGTTTACGTAGCACACGTAGAAGCTAATATTTTTGAATAATTACTGTTATAAATTTAAAAACTATGTGAAAACGCCTCCATCTAGCTAGTATGTTGACATCAGATATTAATTTGTCATGATGCAGTGTCTATACAATCAGAGTTCAATATATACTGATGAGTGAAAATTAAACAAAAGTAGATATGAACCAGCCTTTTCTGAACATAGGCCTCTTCTTAGAAAGGAGATTTTGGCTTACAGACGGGTTGATATAGGGTTTGTTTCAAGTTTGCCTTCTCTTTGCAGTTCTGTAGTGCTTCGTAGTTTGCTCCCTTAGTCGGCTCTTAGACACCCACGGGATTAATAGGAGTTCTGTATTCTTAATCCGTCACCACTCGGACGAATTAAGAATACACGGGCCTCAATTAGGTTAGATAGTATGGATGATAGGTTTTCAGTTTTTCCATAATTGTATTTGCGCAGGATATTTAAAGACAGACTAAGAGATACTAGCTGCTAGATATGGTTAGATGAAATGGCCAAGAGTATATAACGAGATGGTTGTAGGAGATGTACTGACTGCTGATGGAGAAGGTGGACGTCTGCAGGTTGCGCTGTCCCGGCTCGCGCATCTTGCGGCCCGTGGGCGTGCTGCAGCCCGACACCGACAGCCCGTCCATGCTCTTGGTCATACCGAAATCTGTTTAACGTTATATTTTGTTATAAGTAAGATATATGGGAGTTAAACCTCTAATTTGTTATAACACGATTAAAGATTGAAATTATAATTTTATTTGGCTCGGTTATAATGTATAATGGGGAAATAAAAAAAAAATTGTATGATGACATATGAAATAAAATGAAAATTTCAATCCGATAGCGTTCCTAGATTTAGGAGTATTTATTGCAAAAATAATTAGAAAGTCTTTTTGTGTCAGAATGGACGAGTTTCACCAGTGATCGGATAGAAGTCAAATTTAAACCAAATAATTATATACAATTTGTAACCACTTTCAGATAGACAATAAAACCTTTTAAAAAAAAAGTTGAACCTACTTCAAACAATACTAACAAAGAGCACTAAATACTTAGCAGCAATCACGGTTCATTTGCTGTCATTTTTTTAGCGTGCCGTTGTCTGTCTCCGAACTCATCATCTATATGATCTATATAAAATTTAAATGGGACCATTTCGGATTTTCGGACCAATGACGGAGTTATGCCCGAACTTACACAAAAACAAAATAAACATCCGAATTGATAACCTCCTTTTTTTAAGTCGGTTAATTAATTAAAATATTGATAACAGTAAAACTACTTTGACAGTATAAACAAATCATAAAACTATTTTTGTTTTATAGATAACACTTATAGCTTGTTGCATGAATTGTGGTAGAGAATTGCTTAGTATATAGAGATGTGTATGCGAGTAGCGTACCAGGCGACGGGGAGCCGTTGGAGACCTTGTGCTGGATGTCCAGGTGCAGCAGCTCGGGTTCAGGGGCCGCGCGCTCTTGCCCCTCCCCGTACACCAGCGGGCTGCCCACCGGCGTCTTCAGGAACCGACCGAACCCTATACCAACCAACAAACAACTAATGACTACAATGTTAGCATTGATAATACACCAACAACATCAACCTAGTCCACTGCTGGACATAGGCCGCTCCTTAGAAAGGAAGTTTTGGCCTACTATACCACACTGGCCAGACGAGTTTTTGGAGGGTTTGTTTCATGTTTTCCTTCTCTTTGGAGTGCTGTTGTCCTGCGTAGTTTGCGTAGATGGGTTTAAGGTTTTGTGAATTACTCCTGCCAGTCATCTTGCGCCGATTCACACAATATTATTAAAATAAATGTTCTAGCTATACTAAACAGTACTTAAACGTTTCACAAAAAACTTTCTTCAGCGAAGATGTTTAAATTTGATTAGAAATATTATTTAATTAAGACAATATAAATGAACATTGGTCATACCCTCGACTACCCTCAGTTCTCCATCGTCGAGACAAACGCGTCCACTGACAATCACATATTGTGGGCTCCCTACCACATGTTGACCCTGGTAACAAAAGCTATACTTTAAAAAATACAGGTAAATAAAATATTTACAAAAAATTGCAATAAAACACGATTGCCCGCAGTCGTTGCAGTGATCAAACTTTACAACAGCACACTCTATAGTGTCTAACAACAATGTACACGGTGAATGTATATTCTGTTATGTCAAACAAACATTTTTATTTATAATTCTAGCTATAATGAAAGTGAACGCGGAACTTAGGTAACTATAATGGCATTATATTCCAATGAATAAATTTATTAACAGGAGTCGGAAATTATCTTTATTCACCTTACCAAATGACGTTGTAAGGTTTTGCCTTTTAATGTCAAACCTAATATCATTAAGAGACGACAATTTTGCAACAGAAAGAAAGACAACTTTTAGGTAAATATAACTGTAAGAGTGAAGTAAATTGAATTAAACTTTATTGTTTTGGGGCCAGATATGTTATTTACTTGTGTGATTTTGTGCATTACAATTTCTGTACTGGTAGTATAAAGTAATCTGGGGTAAAAACGTTTTTTTCTTTAAAACGACAGCTCCCAGCATTGTGAATATATCCTGTGTCGCGGGGGACTTTACAAACATACATGAAACGGACACAAAGAACACCCAGACTCAGAATAACAATTTGTGGATCACACAAAGTGTCGTCCCATGTGGGGATCGATCCCACAACACTCAGCGTAGTTGGAAGCGGCGAGGTGACCGCCTAAACCACTACCTCATCCATGCAAACTTGTAACAATGAAGTTGTGACTCACCTCAAAGATGTTAAAGTCAACAGCGTGCTTGTGCGTGGCGGCGGAGATGGTCCGCTCGAGGCGCGGGTCCCACACGACGATGTCCGCGTCGCTGTTGACGGCCACGCGCCCCTTCTGCGGCCAGATGTTGAAGATCTTGGCCGCGTTCGAGCTGGTCACCGCCACGAACCGACACGGGTCCATTATACCTGAGGGTTCATATTTACTTTAAAGCTATTTTCCATTTATAAGGATAATATCATGTCATTTTGGGATCGTATAGAAAGAAGACCTATTGTCGGACAGTTCATGATTTTGAACTACTCGACTTGACCTCGCTAATATGAATGAAATAATGAGTTAGTGCTAGTGGGTTTGATGGTATGGTCCTGTAGGTCCAGCCCTTGCAACCATATAAATTATGTATTTCGTTAAATCTTTCTAAAACCATAGTTTTGAAAAAGTAACAATTATTTTTTATAAGATGATGCTGTGGCCAATAAGGTGGCCCCTGTAACATGTGTGTAAACTTAGATCTTTTCTATGTAAAGTTAATAATGTAATACGTATTAAACATAAAAATAACATTTTCCATAATGAATTATCCAGACCTGCCCACTTTGTTTAGTTATGTTATCATTTTTCAAAGTTTAGTAAAATATTTTGCATGCAATAGTTTTTAATGACAACAATATTATTTTTTGTTTTTAATTAAACAAAAAAGAAGTTAAATGTACATAGTTGTTTTATTATAAGAATACTAATTTACCAGTGTTGACAGCCTTTTGCCAGAGGATGGCCATGCGGTCCTCAACACCGTTCACTCCGTTGGGTATCTTGGAGAAGTTGTTCTTGCCGATCTCCTTGTCCTTCTCGTGGAACGTGCAGTTGTCGCTGCCGATCACCTGGATGTAGTCACTATAAGAAATGAGTAGTAGCTTTATACATAGCTTGTAGATTTATTATAGAAATCGTGTCGCCCTAATTGAATCTTTAGATAATGATTTTTCTTGTGTTATATTTTTAACTGTATTTATGTACGTATTTATAAGTTATACACCTCTTTTTATTTTATTACATATATATATATATATTCATAGTCATAACTTTAATATTAAAATATATTTCTAATATCAATACATAGTTCGTAGTTATAAAGAAATGTATACAAAGACAAAGACGAAATATAAACCAGGTACATTGTGTATGTTTGTAAAAATTCACTATGTACATTACAAATTGTTCACTTAATGAAGCAACAGTGTTCGGTCGATCGAAGTTCTTTATGGATAGTTCAAGATGATCTTCAAAAACACGAGTGTATCATATCATGTCCGTGTATGTTTGTAAGGCTGTTTCTGTGTGAATGTGGGTGTGTATACATATGTATCGTTCGTTTTGTTATTGAAAGTGTCTTAAGAAATGTATGTCAGTAGTTGTTCTGTATTATCGTAGAATATATGTGTATCATTTGTTGGTGATGCAAAATAAATAAAACCAGTAAATTTAAAATATATAAATTGAGTATGTAAAACAGGCTCAGGCTCAGGTATAGTGCGCAACTCACTCAGCGAGCGCCTCGCACATGGCCTGGGGCGTGGCGGGGTCGGGGCGCAGCGGCGGGCTCAGCACGTGCGCCGCCGCGTGACGGAAGCACGCGTTGCGCTGGTGGCTGCCTGCGGAACCAACGAGCGAGAAGCGTTATGTATGGCGCTACCGTCACTCGTATAACACGATATAGTAACATTTCTCGGCATTTCAACGAACCTCGATATAGAGACAAAGCGACTTACGACCGGTAACGGCGGCGCTAAAAATCTATAATCGTCGTTATGCGATCATAATATTTTGAAATTTATATATTATTTGAAGTTTTACAAATAATAGACTCGAGGATAGTACGATTAGAAAAGGAAAACAGAATTGAATAAATTTAAATTTTCATTTTTTACAATTTAAAACTTATGGTAATTCTTTTATGTATTCAATAAAGCATTCGATACAGTTGATTTAACATTTTTTTACGAATATTCTCTCTTAACAAAATAATTGGTTATAATTGATATTTAACAATTATTTTTATTAATATATCAACAAAAAACTTTAAAATATCTTAACTGTATCATCTATGTTTTCTCCATTACAATAACTGGAGTCTACAGGGCTCTGATATTAACCCTTGTTATTTATACTGTAATAAAATACAAATTCAAGTACAGATTCGATTGTAGCAAAAGACAGCTATTTTTTTTAAATTCTATAACACTGAGTTAAAAGGCGTTACTGACCATCTGTTCCAACAGTAGCAGCCAGGGTTTCTCCAAACAGTGGAGTGCGCTGGCGAGTTCGCGCCAATTGTAACATCCGGACTGCGCTCTTTGACATCATGTGTACAATGTACAGGGGTGACTTCGCCTGGGGAAAGGGTAAAAACAATCAATCTACAATTCTAAACATTTTTAATGTCGAACAAAACGAATTTAAGTTTTATACAAAACAAAGTCAGCAAAGAAACAAACATGTCTCTTTCCGGAGAAAAGGTTAAATAAATACGAAATAACTCTATTTGAATGCCTGAAAAAGCACTAAAAAACAATTACATCAGGCATTTAGGTGGATCGAGCGACTGCTGCTGGTCGTATATACCGGACGCAAAACCGATAATGGGTCTTTGCAGGTTGTAACTTCCCCGGAAACGGACGAACTCACCGTAGCAAAGCTACCGATTCAAGGGTTTGCAAAAATTTTGATTGAACATTTTCATTTGTTAACCTGCATGTCGGAGAATTTTAATAGTTTTATAGTATGTATGCCTTATACAGTCATAATTTGAAGATACAGACCTGGTTGGCAATAACACACGCCCTATTAACAGCCTCGCCTTCAACCTCCTCATTACGAGAGAGCTCGTGACCCTCGGGGCCTGTTACTCCAGCTGCTAGTAGCTTCTCAGTGTTACGGGCTATGATGTCGCCGTTTTCGGCATGAACCTGTAAAAAGTTTTGGTTTAAACTAGTTAATAATACTAAAAGACTTTTAGTATTTTAGTTTATAGTATAATAAGTAAATGTTAATTAAATAACACTCTTTACTAACCATAACATTAAGACTTAATGTATGACAGATAATGTAACACTGCAATCGTGATCACTTGCTGTTTTAATTTACCTTCTTGTTTGTTACTAAAAATGTGTAGAGACAGTGCGATATGCATGTCTAGGGAAGTTTAATAGAATCTACTAGAATTATTAGAGGATCTACGAAAATTACAAGAGGGGTATTTAAAACACACATTAAATACTTAAAATATTATATTTTTGATTGTACCAATTGTGTGAACTACTTGATGGCGGTAAGCAGCGGCCGGTATAAGGCCGAATGATTCTTTGGAACACGCCCCGTAATTCAAGCGATAGAGAATGCACAGTGAAAGCAGCACCAAGGGATCATATTTATTAAGCGTATACGGTTTTATTGTCGTATATGACAATGAACTCCTAGTTTCAGACCGGAAAGCCCACACGGAGCGGAGTTATCACACGCGGCAATCGAAACTAGACCCAAAACTTGTCGAGTATCCTCAAAATATACATTTCTTTGTCAAGAACTAAAACAACTTGTGAAGAGCGAAGGGGACAGAAGCTAATTTCGGTCAACTTTCTTCTAAAAGGGACTTAAGTTTCGAAATTTTCATATACCTGAGGTAGCGCTTTCAGTTCAGCACACGTTTCCATTGCACAGTACAAGTCATAATCATCCAACTGCCACAAGTCCTTATAAGCCATGAACATCTTGAAGGAGTTGACACCATACTGCTCTGTCACCAACTTCTGCATCTCTTTCTTCACTGATGGAGACCACCACGTTACGCCTACGTGAAGACCGTAGTCGCAACATACCTTGGGGAATAAGTAATTGAAAATGATTTGACAAATTATATATCTTTGATTTTTTATATTTTTTTTTTGATAACTTCTATAGGATATTCTTTGTCAGTTTTCCTATTTTGGAGAGAACAATGTCAAGTTTAAGGATATTAATGTTAGGGTTCCTTAATTGGTTTTTTAAATAGGCTTCTTTAAAGCTGGTCTATAGACCGCTGTAATAAGCACTATGTATTACACTAAAAGTATATTTCTGACAATTAGTTCACCATTGTAGCAGATGCTGCTGAATACGTGCAAAAAAAGAAAAGAGTGGAGTAGTAGGTGTCCCTCCTTTTTCCTTTTTCCTATAAAGTAATGAGACTAGCGCAGTGCAATGTTACCTTGTTATCGGCCTTATCTCTCCAATTAGCATATGCTTCCAGCAAAGACTGGTTCTTCTGCGGTAGCACGAAGTCAACTGAAAAGTGAAAAAAATAATATAAGTAACTTGCCATTCTCATCACAGACACTTTTCCTGTCTTAAGAGCCGCAACTTATTGTAAAACAATCTACAACTTTCATCTTCACAATCACATCTACATTTCTACAAATCTTTTTCAAATTCTTGTGATTAACGTCCAACCAAAAAACCAATTGTTTAGCTTTTTTATTAGTGTAATCAAAAAATTAATGAATTAAAAAGGTGAAAATTTTCATTAAAAACCCTAAGAACTAAAAGACAGAATAAAATCACCAACGAACAGAACGAAGTTGTGTGTGTATAGTTTTGTGGTGTTGTATACTAGATGTCGCTAGGTTGATAAAATTCAACAAACGAATACTGGTAATGATTATTATTGAATAATGATTATAGTTAATGATTGAGTCCTGGATAATCATAATTGATCGGAACTTTAGTACGTTATAGTTGATAACTTACTGACAGTTGTAGTGCCTCCGGCCACAGCAGCCCTCGTTCCCTTGTAGAAGTCATCAGCTGCCTTAGCACCATTCATCTCAAGTTCAAAGTGCGTGTGAGGGTCGATGCCTCCTGGCATGACTAGTTTCCCAGTGGCATCGATAGTCCTGGTGCCTCCAGGGATGATGAGGTTGCGACCCACTTGTCTGTAATAGATTAAAATTGTTTTTTTTTTTTTTTAAATAGATAGTGGCAAACAAATATAGGAACTATGCTACTGTATATGTAAAATATTGTTTTTGTACGCCGTGTTTATACACTGTTTTGTTCTACTCGTAATGGCTGTCCCACCATGTTGTTAAATATAATATAACCTTCTTTAAGAATTAAGCTCTTAGGTGGTTGGAGAGATTAACGAGTTCATTAAACACATAATAGTAGTAAAAAAAAACATTTAGACGTTTATTGTGTTTTATCTATGATTTAGATTAAACTATATCAGTTTACAAGTCTGGTTGGTGGGGAAAGTACCAAGTTTTATTGTTTGTGTAGTTTACATCCCAAATTTCAGCTTTCTAGGACTCCCTATGAATTTTCATGATCACCAGTGAGCCAGTGACGAAATCTTAGTTTTTAGATATCAAAATATAATATAAAGTATGAGAGCTTATGCTATTGAAACTTACATATTTCATAAGTTCACACTAACACACGGTAACACGGCAGTGCAATAGATAAGTGTTGCTGAAGTTTAAATCTATACTAATATTATAAAGCTAAAGAGTGTATTTATTTGGTTGAACGCGCTAATCTCAGAAACTACGAGTTCGAATTGAAGAATTATTTTAGAGTTGCACAGCCCGTTTATCGGCTATACTCGTATAACATCAAGCTATGATCAATTCAATAGGAGCCGAGAATCAATGAATCATCAGAAACGATCCTAATTTATTCCTTTTAAGAGATGCAATCGAAATTTCGCAGGTAATCTAGTCTTTTTTATTTTCTTGATATTATATTCAACAATATTAGCATGTCAATGCTTACAGGGCCTTTCTCAAGTTAATGAAAGACCTTATAGTCGGTACAATTATCACATAGATACTCGTACAACAGTAAATTTTGTTTTGATACAATTTTTAATAAAACCTAATACTAAATACTCTTAAAATATCTTATTTATTAAGATTAGTTTATTTGCTATTGCTTAAGAAAGAAATGTTCTTAATAACTAATACGCTTGGGACTGTAATCATTTACTTAAGGGGTAAATTAACCCCATTAACTTTTTACTTTGTGTCTTATGATAGCGGATAATGCGAGGAACAGAATTTAAAGGGTAGCGCAAGTTTCCTAAATCCTATAAAGTAATAATTTAAACCTCCTTTCTAAGGAGAGGCCTATGTCCAGCAGTGGACTATTATATAAGGCTGTTGATGATGATGAAAAATATAAATGTGTTATAAGCTCTAGAGCTTTTTTTAAAGACAACTCCCGTATTAGGAATATATACTGTGTCGCGGGGGACTTTACAAACATACATGAAACGGACACATTATTCGACATATTTTCCCAACAAACCTACGAATGGAAAATTTGCCTTAAAAAAATTGCTTAAAAGTAGTGTAGTATCTCGAGATGATGTAAAGTTAACTAACTTTAGATAATTAATCTATAAGAAATAAAAGTATTCAACACTAGTTTCGCTACACCCAACATTCAAAAATCAAAAGGCAAAAGTCCATAAATCTTTCTTAACTCTGACAATAACGATAGCATCTACGCTTAAATTAAAAGAAATCTATAACAAGCTCTTCTTTTATCATCCGTTTCCCCATAAACCATAAATCAACCGACACATATTTTTATTAGATCTAAATTAAAAAGGTCCGAACTTAAATAGTTCCCGTATCAATTTTAACATCAGGTCAATAGATTCTTAACCTCAATCAACACAATTTAGTTAACGTTTTAAATTGGATTGCTTTGTGCTATTGTTAAAAGGTTTATCGGCTTAAATCACTGGATTCCAATGAGTCTGCAATTTCATTTTTACTTTCATTGTATCATTCGATTTGGTTTATTTAAAAACATTTTAAGGATAGCATATTTTTTCCAGATAGACGCGTTAAACCGGGAAAATATAGTGTACCATTATTTCCTATTTTTTGGGTAAGCAGATCGGTTTTATTGGATTTTCGTTCGTCAAGTGACAATACTGGTAGTGTGAGTGTTTATAACGCTGGTAACCAGCGGGGTAAAAGTAAACAGTGGAGAACAAGTGGATGTGCAAATATCATAAATTAAATAAATAGCAGTAAAAGTAGTTAATTAAGTCATAAAAAAACAAATAAAAAGCCAATAGGTTGAAAAAAGAGGATATTCAGGAAATGAACTTGTGTTCGACCAGAGGTCGAAATCCAATCACAGCAAATAAACAAATTTAAGAGAACCTATTGAAACAAAATTGTACTAAATTTTAATAAAAAAAAATGTATTAAAATAAAATCTGTTATAAATATAAACTGTTATATGAGTACCTATGTGATAATTAATATTATATTTCGGACATCTGACACACAACGCCGACTAGTTTCAAACTAAGCAGAGCTTGTGCTTTGAAAGCTAGATTGAGTGATAGAATACTTTGAGATATCAATATCGTTTACACAATATTAAGAAAATAATAATAAATAAAAATAATAATAATAAAATAATAATAATAAAATAATAATAATAAAATATAATAAATATTTTACTGTTTGGGAAAAGAATGAAAATTCTAAGTTTATATCCGATCTCGATAGATGGCGTTATGCTGAAATTTTAGATCACGTTATGGTTTCGTTACTGCGTTCTTACTTAAACATCTGTGACATTTTGTAACTTTGACTTATTTGTTTAATCAGAAACAAGCTTTATCTTGAAAGGGTTTCGATCGGCCAACAGTCTGGTTGAAACCTAAATATATAATAACATTAGCGACGATCTGCCCAGTGCCCCGGCTTCTTTGCACGGTTGCAATGTAAATACTATGTAGTGCTAGTGTCAAGTATTTAATTATCCTACTACTCGTATTATAAGACGTATAATACTACTGAACAATTCAGGACATCTTTAAAATTTTAGATGCAATTTTTGAGCTACATTAAATATTATGTATCTAGCATATTTATTTTGGATGAGGAATAATACTGTATGGTTTAAAATAGCTTCGTAAATTTCCCATTATTTTTATACAAATAGTTACTATGGGTTATCCTTAAGAGATAGACATACTTTTGTAGATCTTTTTAAGAAGTATATTTCCGTAGTACATTATTTTGATTTAAGACTAATCTTTGAAATTCGTATTTTCGCTACTATAATATACATGTATATACATATAAACCTTTCTCTTAAATCAGTCTCTTGGCGAAAACCGCATTAAAATCCGTTGCTTAGCTTAGTTGAAGTCGGTTTTCTTCTTGTACGTTAGATGTTTATCTAACATACAAGAAGAAAACCGACTTCATTTTATACTATGTAAAGATTATAGCAACTAATTATGCAACATGATCTTAGTATATTAATACAGTATTGGTAGAGCTTAAACTAATCTCTACAATAAATTTATTTATTAACAAAATGACGTTTAGTCAAACTTGATACCCTCACGTCTATGAAGCGTATGAAACGACCACATTTTGTCGTCTATAGTCCTACTTATCTTATAGTGCGAAGGTTATTACTTCCAAACATATATTTACACACTAAATACATACATATTATAGATAAATTACATCCAGGCAGAACAAATGATCGTGCTCATCGCACAATATTTGTCTTGGGTGTGAACTGAACATACGATCTCGCTGTTAGCAGTCAGGATTGCTAACCACTAGGTCTAGAAATGATGAGGTGTAGAAGTGCTGTCTACCTTAGTGGTCACCAGGGCAGACAGCATTTTATATTGATACTAAATTTCTTTCTTTTAAATTTTTAATAGTTACTTTGCGTAGCTAAAAGTACTTCTCACAAAAAATTACTGAGAATAATTAAATCAGCTTTTAATAATAATTTAGCATTCACAATGACATGACAGACATCATTGCCACTCTAAATAAAATAAAAAAAGACAAAATATCTTTATTATCATTTTTACAATGTGTGGCTTGGTGTAATGTATCTTTAATATGTATATATTTTAGTAATATGTAAGAGTTTTCATCAGCAGTCTGTTTACCATAGTACAGACTCTACCTAGTTTGGGACGGCCGTGTGTGAGAAGTGTGCTGTGAGATTATATTATTATTAAACTGTATTGCGAGGCCCCGGGCGGCTAGATCAATGCGAGGCCCTTGTCTTTGTGGAATTAGTTTTAATGACGATAAAAAATAAACAATGCAACGCAATACGTCATACTGTTGTCGCACATCAAAGCTTAAGCACGATACTGACACTGACACTCAGTCATGCTTTTTTTATATTTATTTAATTTTATTACCACTAAGGTAGAACACAACAATAGCCAAGCAGCCTTGTCGTTTAACTAATCGTTAAGTAAGTAAGCTTTCTGAACCGATTCGTTTTATAAACGAAAGGCACGAAAGGCCCTATACCGTTCAAATGTCAATATCGTCTATACAATATCAAGAAAATACAAAAGATTTAGACTGCATCAACACTGTTAATTAATAAATATTTTACTGTTTGGGAAGAGAATGGAAATTCAAAGTTTATATACGATCTCGATAGATGGCGTTATGCTGAAATTTAAGATCACGTTATGGTTTCGTTACTGCGTTCTTATTTAAACATTTATGACATTTTTTAATTTCGACTTATCTGTTTAATCAGAAACAAGCTTTATCTTGAAAGGGTTTCGATCGGCCAAAAGTCTGGTTGAAACCTAAATATTAATTATTATTTCGGCGAATCAGTCAACAGTTCAACACGGTCTTAGACTATTCTGAACTTCTGGAGACGTTATTCGTTTAGGAGGTACTGAGAAGGAGGTGTTCTTCAGAGGTTTGTTGGGAAAATATGTCGAACAGGTAACCATAATTACTTTAAAACTTATTAGACAATTATATTCGTGGTATTTAGGCTACTTGTGGTATCCTTGAACCTAGTTTCCTCGCATTTTCCGATTTCATAAGATACACAGGAAAAGTAAATGGTGGTAATTTACCTTTTTCATTTGTCCCTTAAGAAAGTGATTATA